TTAAGCCTTTATTAAAGGGACAAGACATTCTTTTCCAGGTTAGGAGGAAACCCTACTTTGACCTGTCTGAGAATCAGCTCAAAAGGCACAGCATGGGCATGTCTTCTTGAACATTTAACCCTTATACTCTTGCAGAACTATCTAGTTCACAGGCCTTTATAGGTTTTTTATTCCTTACCTTGCACAATCTCTAATTCCATTATAGTTTTCCTCATTTCTTCCCTTGCCCATTGCCTGAAGACGAGTTTTTATTACTGCAAAACAAAGTATTAATTGGCAGATTAAAGGACTAATGCAGGCACGGGTGAGAATGTGCCTCTGTAGCATTTTGCCTTTCCCTTTGCTTTAAAATTCATCCTAAATACAGAAACCTTCCCTGCCCAGAAAATCCAAAACAGATAAAGACTAGCTTCCAAGAATGGAGAAGAAAAATAATTTTCCCAGTAATTTCCTATGCCTATCAGATGGATCAGCACCATACACAATAAATCACAAAAGCAGGAAAGAGGTATTCAAAATTTCTCTTACCATCACAAGGATTGACGGACACAGCTGCCACTGAGCCAGCCACGCAGCCAGCCAGGAAAGAATGAAAGAAAGGGGCCCTTTCCTCCAAGGAATCCTGTTTTGCTTTGTTCAGATGGTCAAATAGTGGGAAGTAGATGATGGAAAATGGGACATCCCTAGAAAAGAGGAGTCATTCATTTACATAAAACCATACAGAGAACAGGTATGGGAATCAGAAAAGCAAGAAGGCACCTTTCTAACCTCAGCAAGGTGGCTCCAAGGCCTTTGTAGAGTCCTTTAATGCCCTGTGCATGCAGCAGCTCGACTGCTATCTGTGTTGCAGATATCCTCCTTGGAAGGACAGCAGGTCCCACGTTGTAAGCTCTGGTCAAAACAGGGCTCACAGCTACAAGCTTGCATCCAGGAGTTGAACAGTGAACTCTGCTCACAAACTGTTGTGATGCTGAAACAAAAGTAGATAATGGCCCTGGTCACACGTGCCAGAAAACATGGAGGGGGGAGGCGTGGCTATTTGCGGCGGC